AGTAGAGACGGGGTTTCACCATGTTGACCAGGATGGTCTCGATCTCTTGACCTCGTGATCCACCCGCCTCGGCCTCCCAAAGTGCTGGGATTACAGGCTTGAGCCACCGCGCCCGGCCGTGTCGACATTCTTTTTAACTGTTTAATGGCTATTGGTGATTCCTGTCGTGCTTTTGTGAGTTTCCTGTCTGTGCTTTTCGTCCATTGTCCTATTGGTGTCATTGTCATTTTTCCGACTTTCCTCAGTTGAGGAGGCAACTGTGGGTATGGGGAAGAGGAGCCCTGGTGTGCAATGCCCTGCTTTTGTACTCTCTGGTTTGCTGTCTGGGATTTGGCGTTGGTGAGGAGTGAAAGGAAAATAGGAAGAGACAACAGGTTTCTCGTGGAACCACAAAGGCCTTGGTGGAAAGAACTGGACTCCCCATATCTGCAGTGTTGCCAATCTCACACCATTGTGGAAAAGGAGGCTGGGGCATTAGGCTGGAGCTTGAGAGAAAGAAGAAATTGCAACGGAGACAGAGAAGAAGTGGTTAGGTGGAAGGGGAACCAGGAGTGCGGTGGGGCAGAAGCTGAGCTTAAAGACAGTGTCAGGAAGCTGCCTGCTCACTTCTTGCTTTATCCTAAGGCAAGGCAGTGTGCACCTGCTCAGGCTTTGTGAGCTATGCTGCCCTGGCCTCTAGGACCTTACAGCCCAAAAGAGTACTGATACTGTCCCAAGAGCTTGTTTCTCCTTCCCAATGGCTTCCCAAGGGCTGATGCTGACTGGGTAACACCTTCATCACTGCGGCGAGCTGCAGCGTGCCAGGGATACGGGCAGTTTTCTCCGGTGGGAAATGACCCCCTTTCTTACAGTATTTCATCAAATAGAGGTTCATTTTGTTAAAGGGATTTACTTTCATTGTATACTCCCTGAGAAGGATAAATCTGTCAGTCACTCACACTTTAGTCATAGGGACTTGTGACCTTAAGAGGTTAACTCCGAGGTTGGCCCTGATAATGTGTCCAAACACAAAGACGGCAACAGGCCATTGTAGCCATAGAGATAAGCAAGAGTACTGGGCACAGCAGTGGCTGATGCCTGTACTCCCATCACTTTGGGAGGCCAAGGTGGGAGAATCACTTGAGCCCAGGAGTTCAAGATCAGCCTGGGCAACACAGAGAAACCCCATCTCTACGAAAATACAAAAATTAGCTGGCTGTGGTGATGTGCATCTGTTGCCCCAGCTACTTGGGAGGCTGAGGTGGGAGGATCACTTGAGCCCAGGAGGCTGAGGCTGCGATGAACCATAATCATGTTACTGCACTCCAGCAGGGTGACAGAGGGAGACCAGAGTTGAGGGGAAAAAAAAAAGAAAGGAAATAAAAGAAACAGGCTGGGCATGGTGGCTCACGCCTGTAATCCCAGTGCTTTGGGAGGCTGAGGCAGGTGGATCACCTGAGGTCAGGAGTTCGAGAACAGCTTGATCAACATGGAGAAACCCCATCTCTACTAAAAATACAAAATTAGCTTGGCATGGTGGCACACAACTGTAATTTCAGCTACTTGGAAGGCTGAGTTAGGAGAATCACTTGAACCCGGGAGGCGGAAGTTGTGGTGAGCCGAGATGGTGCCATTGCACTCCAGCCTGGGCAACAAGAGTGAAACTCTGTCTCGGGGAAAAAAAAAAAAAAAGAGAGAGAGAGAGAAAAAAAAAGAAATAAGCAAGAGTAATCCACTGTTAGAGATTATTTGTAAATATACGGTTTGGGAGATGTGGAGCCCCCTGTTGCCCCAGGCCCCTCTCTGCCTCCCTGTTGGTCACTCGTCATCTCCCCAGCCTCTTACCATTGTAGTGTCTGTGGTCATTCCCTGGGCCTCTTCTATTTTCTCCCTCCCTAGGTGATCTTATCCAGTCTGTGGCTCCCTACCAGATTCAGATACTATCTATGGAGACCACCCTTGTGCTGATGCCTCTCAAATGTATATCTCTAGATCATACACTTCCCAGAACTCCAGACTTGTACTTCAAGTACAAGTACCACGAACTCAACATGTCCAGATGTCCAGAACTGACCTGATCTTTTCCCTGAGCCGTCTCTTCCTTCCTGACAGAATTGAGGTTTGCAGTTCTATTCTTTCCATTGTTCAAATCCTTGAAGATATTGCTGCCTCCTCTCTTTTTCTCATATTCCACATCCAAACTGTCTTAAATTCTATGGACTCTACCTTCAAAATATGTATGTCCGGAACCTGAGCACTTCTCATCTCTTCTCATCGCCCCTGCCAGTACCCTAGTCCAAGCCAGTGTCGTCTCTGCATCTCCTAACTTGTCTTCCTGCTGCTGTCCTTGCTGTCCTTGTCCATGTCTCTACCCAGCAGCCAAAGTGAGTTTGTTCAAATACAAGTTAGACCACCTCACTCCTCTGCTTAAAACTCTCCACTCACTCAGAGTAAAGCTAGCTTCCTTACAGGGCCTGCAAGGCCCTGCATGAGGCCCTTCCCGCTCTAACCTCATCTTTGACTACTTCTCACCATCCAGCCCCACTGGCTTCCTGCTGTTCTTGAAACCGGCACATTCACACCTTAGGGCCTGTACTTGCTCTTCTCACTGCATGAACTGCTTCCTTCCCCAGCTATCTTCGTGGCTCCGTCCCTCATCTCAGAGGGCACCCAACTGAGGCCTTCCCTGCCTGCCTCATTTCAAAACTGGAAGCCTCTCCCGTGTTCCTCATCCCCGTTGGCTTTTCTTCTTATTATTTCTCACCATCCAACTAACATAAATTTCATTTATATTTCTCATTTACTGACTGCCAATTCCACAAAGGCAAGGA